ATAAAGTGTGACATAAATTACAGTGAAAATATAAATATTAAAAACTGCAAAAGTACAAGATTATACAAGAATTTAAAATTGTTGTGTAAGAGTTTTAAATATAGCATATAAAACAACTGACATCATAACTTCCCATGAATAAATAACATGATCTCTAACATATTGCATTGCGCATTATTGTGATTATTATCCAGAGCCCTTTCAGGACCGTACTGAAGGATAATGCGTTACCAACCATATTTGACAATCCTTCCCTCAAACGGTCGAATAATGAGGTAAGAGTTGCTCAGTATTAATCAATGAGTTGTTACTGTACTGTATTAAACCTGTCTCTCAACATTTTTAAGGTAAATGTCAATTATGTGTAAATACTGAATGTGAAGTGTTTTAGTAATGAATTTGGTATGTTTCTAACAGACAGAAAATAAGGATTCCCCTGAAGCGAAGAAGAGTAAATGTGAGTTGTTTTTGTGTGTTTTGTTTGTTCCTTTGTTTTATGATGCAGTACTATTTAGATATTACCATATAATTTTCTCACATATTTACATACCTGGCTTGCTGAATCTGTAATCTGGAGGGATTTTTTTTAAATGCATTTTTATTTAGTAATGCTGTAATAAAGTTCTTTGACACATTCTACTTATTTACATGAATTCCACTATACAAAATAATTACTGAATTTACACAAATATTTTTTATTTATTTTTTTTCAGCGGACTCTCAAAGTGAGCCAACGAAAGATGATAGTGAGGCAGCAACCAAAGAGATCAGTGAGAGCAAAAATGGCGATGGGGTTGACAGCAGCCCTCAGGTCATTGATGAGGAAACGCTTAATAAAGAGTATCTCAAGTCTTTGTTCGATGTTGTCATGATGATGGGAACGCAGAACATCCCTCTGCATGGGCACTCCGACAAAGAACCCAGAAGCAAAAGCTTCACTCCCAGCAACTTCCAGGCACTGTTGGAGTACCGCATCAACGCAGGTGATGAATTCCTCAGAAAGAAGTTTGAGGGGTCGCCCGTAAACCTCGAGTATTGCTCCTCTACTCAATTGCAGCAGATGCTGGAAGTGATCGAAAACTGCGTTCGTGAAGAGTCGTTGGCTGAAGTTAAAGAAGGACGCTTCTTCTCATTGGTTGTAGACAACCTGGTTGAGATATGCGGAGAGAGCCGTCTCCCATTGTTCATACGTTTTGTGGGCAAGACCAACTGCCTCCGGGAAGAATTTGTCGGGTTTCTGCCTTTTGAAGGTGATGTGGAGGCTATCACCAAGAGGCTTATTGGTGAAGTGACCGAAAAATGTGGCCTGGACATGCAGTACTGCAGAGGACAGGCGTATTTGTGTTCTGGTGTGTCCGCTATGAAGGTCAAAGCAGTGGTGGCCAGAATAGCTGAGTTACACCCGCTAGCAGTTCTCACCCCTTGCTCCAGTTGCTCTCTAAACATCTGCCTGGCAAACACAATGACCTTCACAGGAGTGCATCTCGTCATGTGTACCCTGAAAAAGCTGGATGCATTTTTCAGTAAGTCACCATTGTTACAAAATCAGCTGGAAAGTGCTATTTCGATCTACTACCAGGGAAACGATGAAAAGGCCAATGTCCTCAAAGGGGCCTGTTATTTGAAATGGACAGAGCAGCATGATACGTTCGAAGTAGCTGTCGACCTCTTGGAGTCTCTTCTGCTTTGCATGGATAGCATCCATGATAATGAAGATCACAAATGGAGCGATGAAGTGGCACACAACGCCTTTGTCATATCCGAGGCATTGGCCGATTTTGAATTTGTCATGACGTTAGTAGTGCTGAAGAACACACTTTCCTTCTCCAGAGCCTTTGGTAAGAATCTGCAAGGCCAAACAAACGAGGTCTTCTTCGCATCTAGCAGTCTAACTGCGGTTCTGCATTCGCTGAATGAAGTTTACGAGAATATCGAGGTCTACCATGAGTTCTGGTTTGAGGAGGCTGTTAACCTGGCTGCAGCTCTTGAAATCCCAGTGAAAGTACCCAGGCTGTACTTCAGAAAACGACCAACGTCTGGTGAGGAAATCCAACCTGAGACCTACTATAAAGAGCAAGTCACCCTTCCAGTGGTCAGCCATGTGATTAAGGAGCTGTCTGATCTTTTCTCTGAAAATCATCTGAAGGCCCTGAAGTCCTTGTCACTTGTCCCTGCCATCATGGGACAGTTGAAGTTCAACACTGCAGAGGAGACCAGTGTAGACATTTATAAAGATGACTTGCTGAACCCAGACACCTTTCCTGCCGAGTTACACTGCTGGAAGATCAAATGGAAGCATGGCACTAAAGATGTTGTACTGCCATCAACCATCTACGAGACGCTTCAGCTGTCCGATGTGAAGTTCTTCCCCAACGTGTGTGCTCTCCTGAAAGTCCTGTACAATCTGCCAGTCTTTGCTCTGACAAATGACAAATGCTGCACCGCGAAACAACGACTGACTGCGTACCTGGAAGATACACCTGTGCATCACAGAAACAAGAGCATGGCTCTGTTCTATATTAACTGTGCTATTAAGCATGATTTGGACAGCATGGTGGAGAAATACTTGAAAATGTATCCAGATAGTGAGCCGTCAGAGAATCGTGATTGATTACAGGCAGCAGCACAGTCTTACATATTGCAGTATGATGAATCTTGTCAATCAGCAGTTTGTAATTTTGCAGCTATAATTTTGTTACTTTTGCTTATTATGTACAGTCGTACAAGATTAGCAGGACTTGAGCTTTTCTTATTGTTCTACCATTTCATTTAACATGCTATGGTGTATATAAAAGTGTACCCCCAGTTTGAATTTGAAAACATTAAAAAGAGCTTTTGCTGACCAACTCCATGAATGTCTTGAAACTGTTAAATGCATTTTTCAGAATTAAATACATACTCTTCAAAAAAGGAAAAAATCGTATGTTTTCTGTTCTTAGTTATAATGTGATATTATTGTTTTTTTGTTGCTTTGGTGCAATTTTTCACAAGCAATTCGTAAATTTTCAAAACTCTTAGTACTAATATCACAACAGATAATCAAAAGTGCATTTTACTTTTCTAACATTTCAGCATTTTTTCACACAATACACACAAATATGTAAGTGTTTAATCTGTGGCTCAGTGGTAGAGCATTGTATTAGTGGCGCAAAAGGTTGTGGGTTCATTTCCCAGGGAACACACATACTGGTAAAAAATGCCTGAATGCACTGTAATGCATAAATTTAACTATTATAGTTTCATAAAGCTATTACTATTGAACTTTTAATTTGCATTACTATTAATCAGACTAATACATTTGTCTATTATTTAATCTAACTCATCTTAATGGTTAATCAGTGACTCATTTAAAGGAAAGGAAAGGACATGACGTGTGGTGACCCATACTTGGAATTTGTGCTCGGCATTTAACCCAAGTGCAGACACACAGTAGTGTGTAGTGAACAAACACCCGGAGCAGTGGGTAGCCAATGACCTTCAGTTGGGGGTTCGGTGCCTTGCTCAAGGGTCTCATCTCAGTCATGGTATTGCATGAGCACTGGACATTCACTCACCCCACCTACAATCCCTGCCAGAACTGAGACTCGAACCCGCAACTTTTGGGTTTCAAGTCCAACTCTCTAGCCATTAGGCATGATCTAAGATGATAACCACTATTTTGTGTGTGTGGTGTGGTGTGTGGGGGGGGGGGGTTCAGGTAAACCCTATTTTAAAGATGGCAATATCTAAAATCATTGTCCTTTTTTGGGTCCAATGAGTGTAGGGGGAGACAGTATAAAACCCATTACTCCTATGGAATGTCACCATAATGATAGGAAAATCTGTGCGTGTGTGTGTGTGTGTACCTACCTACTGTAACCATATTTTGGGGACAAATTGGTACCCAGAAGTAAACAAAACTTGACAAAATCACCTAAAACCTCCCTTTGAGGACGTCCTCATTTGTAAAACCGTGTGTTTTGCTATTTGAGAACAGCAAGACACAAGGAAGAGGAACTGATCAGAGATGTATCAGAAGAAGGGAGACAGATAGCATCAAATACAGCATTTTACATTACATTATGCCATGTGATACTGTATATAGAAGCATTACCATGATAAAGAGTGCACATTACTATAACTCACCCTTCATCTGAAAAATTCAGCTAGAATAGAGATTCAGTCATATGGCACAGTGAGGACATTTACTGCATTGACAGTAAACTCTGTTCTAGCACAAAACCTTATTGCCATGTCATACCTTCATCACACCTTTTGATAGATAACACACTGGATAAATACTTTTACAAACATTATTGATTTTATGTGAGATATGCAAGTTAGGTCATGTAAGTTTATTTTCTAGCATGACCGTTATTACCTCTATTACTGTAATTATTTCAGCAACAAAGGTGATTTGAAACGTATCTTGCATTGTTTGGTCTTGAATGAACTGATTGTTAAAAGTACTAAATTGAAAGAAGATCATACTGTTGTGTTTTGGTGATTAATTCAAATGTTCTCAATACATATCATATAATGATCTTGTGTTTTGAAAATCATGAGATCAGGTTTTGAAAGAATGACTAGTGGCGTTCCAAGTGTGATCAGTTTAAAGTTTTGTACTAAGAGCTTTGAAAATGTACACCTTACTTGTGAAAATAGTACCAAACCAATAAAAAAAAAACTAAATATTTTATTTGGTCAAATAATGTATTATAACTATTATCATTAGCATATAGCAACGGTCTTCGCTTATTTGTGTTTTATGACATCTTTCATAGGAGCAAAATAAAATTAAACAGCTGTGTGACTATATGAAATAGTAACATCAAATCAAAACAAGCTGAATTTGTCATTTATCGTTGCAAAGTACATCAACGAAGCATATTGGATCATTCAAAGTCAGATGTTAGTATGTGGGACTAAATGGGTTAAAGTCCTATGAAATATTCAGGACTTCAAAAAATGATCAACTTCTGTTATTAAAAGGGTGTGACCTCGAATGTTCACGCGGGTTAGAAAATAACCTGGGCGCCTCGTGGAGAAGGGGAACAAATTTGTATTTGAGTTATCATTTTGTGATGATATTTGTAAAAATCAGTTGTGCAGCCATTGCGTGACTTATTCTGGAAATGCACATGAGAAGGGGAAAGAATGACGGTGATGGAGTTATTTTTGGGGGGATCCGTCTTCAGTTTAGTCCGTTTCCGCTCTACATAGGTGTTCTTCCTGGTTGTTGATTCCTCTGAGAAAGTAGCAACGTTTCGGCCATGAGCAAGTTCCAGTAGAATGCACGCGACGATTGGAAATAACGCCCAATAGCGTGAAATCTATGTAGATGCGCGCGCGCTTTTTGCTGCCAAAGCGTCTCCTTTTGCGCTGAAGGATTCGTGCAATGCAGTGTTCATTTTGATTAAGTCCAAAATGCCCGACTGCTGTGCCGCAGCAAACTGCAAGCAGAGTACGGACCAGTCCAACGTTTCCTTCTTTAGGTTCCCGCTGGATCCCGTTCGGTGAGTGCAGCCTTTGGGCGTAAATGCAATCGCAATTTAATCGATGGTATTTTTTTCCTATTTCGATATTTATTTACAGAAAGTACAGAATGAGCAAATTAGCATCGTTTGTTAGCTGGTTAGCTTCTGCCCCCTTTTACAATGATTCATTGAATGCATGGCTCCCTTATTGTGGGCTTATGCTTTCCCTGCGGCTTCCATTAATCTGGTTTTGTAAAGATTTTTTGCTTTGCCAGGGCCTGTTTTTTAATTGGCAATCATGAAATTAGGCTACCTTTCGCATTTCTTCAACGTGATTGCTGCAACTTTTAAGGGGTTACTGTAAGCAATTGACTCCTGTACACGTTCGCCATCATCAGGCCCTTCCCAAAATGGCAGGAATTTAATTCCCTCAGAATACGTTATTCTGTTCGGGGCTTGATTTGTACTTTTGCTTTCTGCTTGTGGGATTTGGATGTCAAACTTATTGTGGCGGTTATTAAACACATTTGCTTTGTTTTAGACCTGTGATTTTTGATTGTTGAGATTTGTAATAATGGTGAAATATCACTTTTGCACTACTGCAGTAACCTTACTTCATATCTTTAGATGTAAACAATGGGTGGGTAAATGCCACAGAACAGATCTGGAGACCAAAACACCTGAAGATTTACACAGCAACTACAGATTGTGCTCAAAACACTTTGAGACATCAATGATATGTCAGCAAGTAAGTTTGCATGGTTTTGGTGAGCATCTTCTATTAAAGAAAAAGTGAGATTTGTATTATTATTTCGTCATGATGTGAGTAAACAAAACCAGTGAAATGATATTTTTTACTAGGATTGATGTGTAGGGTTGACCAGTAGGCTGGCATGTGCCCTATGTTCCCCCAGAAAAACTGCATCATTTTTGACACTGGTGAATTACTAATGTTTGAAACCACTTTTTTGTTTGTTTATTTGTTTTGCTAAAAGTTTAGCTATGCATTAATAAATTTAGCATATTTCCCAAAATGAGTGTATGCTGTTCCGGTTGCTCAACTACATGGTAAACTTTGCATGTAAATGAAATACAATTAGATTGGTCTTGTGAATAGCCATTTGTAAAGTTTCATTTGCTTTACTAAAAAAAAAAAAAAACTTTTTTTTTT